AAATTCTGAGGTTATACTAACAAATGGTAAACACAAAAGTTGTAGACCTTTCAGGTATCTACAACTTTTACATTAAAAACCTTTTTTGATACGAGGTACAGATATCATTTTATACTAAAAAAACTGTTTTTTTACCATTACGCGCAACATAAATTAATATTTTAACAATAACAGTTAAAAAGTCTCCATATTTTAAAAACATGATTTTTACGTAAAATGTGACGCATAATACGATGGTAAAAGTAAAAACTCGATTCATTTTGGGGGCAATTGTTAAAAATCGATTAAAACAATTAAATTGTTAATAACAATGTTAATTTGTAGATAATTTTTTTTAAAATTTTTTTTCTTAAAGTTCAACTCTTTAGCTACAAAAGTGCCGTTGGTGAAAATTTCGTAGCTCTTAAGGATTTGGAGCTATACATTGTTTAAAATGAGTCTTCAACCACTATTATGAAATTTGTTATAACTTATTAAATCTAAAATGGGCGATAAAAAATTTCTCGGACACGTATCTCTTATTTTTCAATATAGAAACTGGAAAAAAAATTTCAGCCGAATCGTAGAGGTGATGATTAATTTTTAGCAAAATTCGTTTGGTTTGTAAAAGAAAGACCCAAATACTTCATGCATACTTTTAGAAATATTTCTCAAATCTCGGCCTACATGACCTTTTATGTTATGAGGATTCATAAATAGGTCAGTATGGATTGCATTATGAGTTTTGGAGATGATTCTGACTATATACTGCTTTATATATCAATAAGAGTGTATAGGAAAAAAATTAAGTTTGAACTCGTAAAACTGACTTTGATTAGCATCTGAATATTAAAATTTGTATTAAATTTTACAGAGCTGTAATGGAAGAATTTCTAAGGTTATTATACGAATAAAATAAAATTTGACTACGACTGTAATTATAAACATTTTAGTATTAGTTGTCTGTAATAACAAATATTATATAGCATGTATGCAACGGAAATACCTTAAGGTTATTTAATTTCTTATAAGTTATTAACTGATTCAATCAGTGTCCTCTTTAGTCTGCGTTGATTCTAATTTCTGTTTAGTAATACGCTACAGTTATTAAATAAACTCACCGCAACATTTGAACTTTCACACGTATTTGATGAAAAGCTGTACAATAAACATATACGTGTGAGCGTTTGATTATCAACGTTTGTTTGTATAACTAGCTTGTTTAAGAGTAGCGTGGTGTCAGTTTACGTATATAGTTGGTACGTAAAAAACTTGTTTTATAATGTAAATAATACAATAAAGTTTAAATTAGTACTATTTGATACAAATAATGCTTTAATTTGGTCCTACTTTTTTTTAAATAATCGAATAATACTTACTTATAAGATACGTGTTTAGTAAATACTTTAGACTATAATGAGCAACAACTAGTTCTTTTATTGAATTCATCTACAGTACTTGAATTTTAAGAATAATACATAAAACAAAATCTATAATTTCACTTATTTTAGTACAATCATTGAAGTTCATACCAGCAAAATAAACGTTTATAACAGTTTATACTGGTTAGGTATAGCTTTCATTATCTTACAGACCTATAATTTTAATAAATGTAGGTTTTTCAACTTAATGATCATAAAAAAAAATATTTTTTTTACTTATCTTAATGCTCAATTACGATGTTTTAACAAAAAAAATGGGTTACAGCTGCTTTTGGTGGTTAAACTTGAAATGTGTCCTTAAAATAAAACGCCAATACTTACCTCACTTGAACAACCAACAAAATATGTATTACCTTAATGTTTTTGCTTGTAATATAAGTTTCCAAAATATTAGTTAAATTGAAGAATTTTTTCGGACTTGACAAACATTTAGAGTAATATATTCAGGGATTTTTGGGGTTATGTTTGGTGTCCTAGAGGTCACGGGATTGGCACAAGAGTCAAAGAACTGTGAGAGCTTATGTTCAAAGCACTAACAAGTTTATTAACTTTAGGACGTGAATTTATTTTATCAGAGGATATCTCCATCAGATTACTGTTTATAGGTTGTTACCTTGAACAAAATTGTAATATCCTGTGAAACTAGAAACTATAATGCTGTCCTTTTTATTAACAATAACTCTATTGAGTTCCTTTTTAAGAATCCTTTGACAAGCATACGCGATCACCTTACCTTAACAATAACCCAACTTTTTCTGTCTTGTTTATTTTTAAGTATTGTCTCCTTCGCGAGCCGTTATTGTCTGTAATTATTTAGAATTATGGGCTTTATTGTAGACTGGCTAATATCTTTCTTTAGTTGTATTTTTATGCTTGTCTTTACAGTTAGTTTTTACCTCAAAACTTGCTCTTAACCATTATGATGATATCCAGTTTGTCCTGAGCCAGTATTTTCAATATACTCTCTCTCGATGAAGCCCCAGCAAAACCCAAAATCTAATATTAGTTTCTTAGCCTTATAGAATTCTTGTTTTTTGTAGTTGCTTTGTCTCTCAAACTGTATATGAACTGATAACGAAGTGCGCCTTTCAAATCTGAAAATTAAAAATTAACGAAGTGCGCCTTTCAAATCTGGAAATTGAAAATTTAAGGACAAAATTTTAAAATCTTGTTACGATTCTGAAACGCTGTGCATTGTTTAATCGAAACGGCATTTTTCATAACTTAACATTGCGATAGCTTTTGTGTCAGAATTGTTCAGGTCACACAAGTTTTTTACAGTATAAATGCTTTGTTATCATATTTAGACAGCATCGTTACTGCTTTTTTCTTATTTGTAGTTATTACTTTGGCTCTATAATAAATTTCCAGCCATTTGCCTTGCATTCACTCATAGCTTTTTTTTTACTTAAGTAGTAAACTATGTTCCATCTTTTGTCTTCACTTATTCCCTGTTCCTTTTTACTACTTCGTTTTAAACTTGTTCTTAGTTAATTCTCATCGTTAGTGTGAAGTCTCAGGTGGGACATATTGGGATGTAATATGGGCCACTGGAGGAGGTAGTAAATTCAACAAGGCGTGAAAGAGTCAACGCATATGCATCGCGGCATAGGACTCGGAGGCTATTTTTCCTCCGTGTTTAAATTTTTGATGACAATGATGCCCGTGCGTTTTTCTAAACTATATTTACATTAAAAAGCAGCTCCCAGTGCACTTCTTTTATACTCTAGAGGTATGTAACTCACGAAAATCCGAATTAAAATACGCAGCTGCTGATAGCTTTCCCGCGTATACATATATCGACAGCAGTGCTTCTATACATATAGGTACAGCACTCTATCAGCAGCTGTGTATTTTAATTCGGATTTTCGTGAGTTACATAGCTCTAGAGTATAAAAGAAGTCCACTGGGAGCTGCTTCCTGATGTAAATATAGTTTAGAAAAACGCATGGGCCTCATTGTCATCAAAAATTTAAACACAGAGGAAAAATAGCCTCCGAGTCCTGTGCTGCGCATGCATATGCGTTGACTCTTTCGCGCCATGTTGAACCTATTACCCCCTCCAGTGGCCCATATTACATCCCAATAATAATGATAGGCACTGGTGAATACCATAACACCTTATCATATGATTAATTGTAATATTGTAAACAGGTGATGTGCATACAGACGTCTATTGATGTCTTGGGTTGATCTTCAACTGACTCACATAACGTTCCTGATACACATTCGAGCGAGTACACAACACATCCACATTTTCTTACTAACATACACTGTAACATTGCTAGCCAAGTTAAGGTCGATAAACCTACTTCAACAAAATTAGCTTGTAGCTCAAGAAGTATATATTTGGCTAAACATTTTACGATAAATTCTTACGTACTGCAATTAATTTTTAAATTAAACAAAGTGGCCCCTTCTACCAACGGGTAACACTCACATCAAAGCTTGAGGCACTTTGCAACTGTTATATATTATTAGTAGACATACCGAGCATTTATCTCCCTTCTACTTTCATGTGCATGCATCTATATCTTAAGACACTGGCTATACTAAGCATCTGCTGGTAATGAATACTTATTAGTTAACTTCTCACAGAAGCACTACCAAAAAAACGCGCTCATCACTCTTTTCATAACGGTACATTATAGCTCCGCACTAAATCAAAAATTTTTGTATCTACTATGAAGAATCACTGTTTGAACTAAACAGATTACAATAAACTCATTATACTCAAGCTGACAATTACTTATTACTGCTACAAAACTTAGTTTTATAGTAAAACAACAAGAAATTATTATAAATTCATACGACCAATAGTATACAAACGAATGTTGATACATCTAAATCATTGTATCAATAGGTACATATGCATAGATCGCAGCACTTTCAATACAAGCACTCTATATCCTTTATACATGGCCTTTTTTTCAATATCCAATATATCCTTAAGACTCATAATACTAAACCACATAGTTTCTTTTTCAAGAAAATTTTCTTAAGAAATAAATAAGAATGAGAAAAATAACCTCTCCGGGTGCGGATCGAAGACAACTTCCTGTTTACTGGACAGTTGCACCTCTTAAAACAATCATTTAGATGCATCAACATTCGCTTGTATACTATTGGTCGTATGAATTTCTAATTTACCGACAAGCATTACAGTCGCATAACTAAGAAATCATTATGTTAGTTTTTAACACAACTTATATAGCAGTCTAGGATGATATAATTTCCGAGTAAAGTTTTTTTTTTTTTCGTACACCTCGATTTTTATATATCTAAGATAGAGATGAGAAATTTTTTGCGATGCAATTATTGTTCTATTTTACTCCTTTACAAAAAATTTTTCGAGATGCTGCGTAAAAAAAGTTAAAAAACAAAAAACCAAAGGTTGGATACTGCTTCAAAATTTATAATATGTAGAGCAGTTCTAATTGATCGTCAACTCTAATCATGACGCGCAACTTTAGAGTACTAGCTCTCTTTTAGCTTTCTAGCTCCTCTTTTATTTTATATTCTACTAAAAGTTTTATACATTCTAATACATGCACGTACATATACATTTAGTATAGAAAAATGACAACGCTGCAGGACTTGAATACGTTGTATACATAACTCCCCTTGGATAAATATACAAACGTTAGCGATTTGATCTTATGGTATGGGTAACAACAATCTTTACGGACTCTAAACATCACTTTTGGCAATAAAAAAGATATTTTGTAAAGAAAATAAGTAAAGACAAGAAAAAAAAAACTTGAGATATTAGGGAGTTCCAGAAAGCAGAAGATTCGTCCTTGAAGATTGCATGAAAATTTCTCACATGTCTTCAAGAACTTGATGGCATAACGACGGTTCTTACGAAAAACAACAGAACTCAGATTTTCCCATTTAAAATAACATTGAAATTTCTGAGTTCCGTTGTTTTTCATAAGGGCCGTCGATAAATATTCGATACAGTTACAAAAGTAAGATTTAAAAGTGGTGTCATCTTTCTTCACCGATAGTATACTGACTGAATTCTCTGTAATGATGTTTCTTTATTTTTATTATCTGCCATTCATTGCACATTTAAATTTTACAGCGATATCAGAAGTTTTAGTGTATTTACTCACATCAAATTCTTTTCAAAAATCTTGGTACTGAAAGTTTTTATTTATTACATTACCATCAAATAATATTTTAATAGATTTCTAACGTAGATAAAGCAACGGCTTTTACAAATCATAATGTCCTAACTTGTTTTTAAAAAATATTCAATTTAATAATTTAATAGCTTGCCTTTAGATAACACTTTCGGAAAAACAGTCAGAGCAGAAGCGCTTGTTTCGGGGAAAAAAAAAGAAGCGCTCATTCAATGTGCCTTAGAAGCATGTAGAATATTGGATAGATATGGCGTGTTGAGACGAGCAAATCATGGTATGTAATAATTATTTGATGAATTTAATACTTTACCTCAATTTGACTATAGACGTTTATTTAGTAGGGTAACCTGATACTCACTTATTTCATCCGTTCATCTGTGTCTGACATTTATCTATTTTAAATAAGTTGATATCTAGTTACCATAAGTTAATTAGCAAAACATTAGTGTTTATTAACAACACTCCACTCAGAATTTATACACTTTGACTACTCTCGTTGCAGAAACGAAAAAAAGAAGGATTCATAACTGGGAAGAAGAAGATTACTACGCTTCCGATGAAGATAACTTTTTAGATAGAACTGGAACAATAGAGAAAAAACGTGAACAAAGAATGAAAATGGCAGGAAAATTAGAAACGAAAGTGGAAACCTATGGCTCCTTAGTATGCTTTCAATAATTTAATCATAAAGTTTAGAGTTTTCTGTTCATCATAAAATAACAATTTAATAATTTTTATATAAATCATATTTTCAGCTTGAAAATTATTCAAACGTTGTTGAAAAAATACGAACCTTAGAAAGTTTAATGGCTTCGCAAACATCAAGACAAAAAGAAGTAAGTAATCAAAGTGAAGATACGTTGGATAAATTTATGTCTATGTTGGATACATCAATATGTGACGAAACTCAAACTAAAAAAATTAAAATAGATCTCTTAAATCTACGAAAAGAAGAATCCCAGCTTTTAAAGTTGATGAATGTAGCAAAGCCAATAAATCTGTCTTCTTCAAATCCGTAAGTAAATTGAAAATATCTAAGCTTATAATGAGTAATTTTAAAAGAATTTTGTAATATATTTATGAGTTATTTCTTATATTATCAGGTGAAGTCTTGTACCAAGCAATTTCATGCAGCAACTTTACTTTTTAAATCGAAAAAATACTTTTTAGTTTACAAATATGTTACATTCTTCGTTTTATATTATATACTGCTATTAAACTTAGTATCATATTTTTGTCATTCAAAAATAGTGGTTTCTTTTTACAGTTTGTCTATTGCTCCTAAGAATGCCAAAGATAGCTTAAATTCTGTGGCTCTCCCTGAAGATGTAGACATATTGAGGCTATCTCATTGTCAGGTAACGTTTTTTATATCTTGAATGTATTTGAATTAATTTTTTGTTCCCATCCAACAAATCATCTTGAAAACGTAGGTAGTAACAGATAATGACATTATTTTACATGCCGTGATATGTTAAAGACTATATACATCTTCACTTAGACATCTAGAATGATTTACTAAAAATAATATCTAAAAACAAAACCGTACGCTTGCTGTCTTTCATGACAGTATTTTTTTTATTCACAACAAAGTCTATTCAATTTTTATCATAAAAGAAAATATCTGTTATCCACTATTAAACAATTTTGATGTAGAATGGCTTCTTAAATTTAAGAATATTTCCGAAATAAATCTAAAATTGAAACCATTTTTCTTTGAGATTTGTTATGAAACTGGGCAGGATTAAAACTGTGCTAATAATCCCAGCTGTTTATACTCGTATTTCAGATAAATTGTCTTAATAGAATTACCTCGTTAGAAGACTAATCTTTAATAAAAGTTCGTTAGAAAATTCACGCTATTAATGCGATATACTTATTAATGAAGAACGTAACCATAAATTACTTCCCATTTAAAGAATGAGAAACGTTAATATATAAACGGTTGTTTGCAAAAACGTCAGGAAAATTTATGTTTTTTAAACTTAATATTGAACTGATTATCTACAGCTATATTTATTGTTATAAACGGCTCTTATTATTGCACGTATTCCGAGCAACAGCTGTTACGTATGAGGTTCCTATGGTCCGCAAACTCAGAAGATGGCGTACTGTAGCTAAGAGAAAAATGGTGTCACATTGACACAAATGTAGTATTCATGATCTCCTGACGTCAGCGTGACGGATATGTTGTCACATAAGTAAGTCCACATTACCGTATACCGTCGTCACTTATAGCCGTAGTGTGTCAGTGATGCCATTTTTCTCTTAGCTACAGCACGCCATCTATGCTGAGTTTGCAGATCGTAGGGACCTTATTACACAAACACATTTTTTATGTAAAAATTTTTTCATTACCTAAAAAATATGGAAAAGTAAAGAATTGTCAGAGTTTGCACACAAAGCGCACAAGAAGCAAATGCGTATTAGTATATAGATAGATAGATAGATAGCTTGATTTTTATGTATAGATTTTACAATCTCCTGACATACTTTTTTTTCATATGACAGATCCATGTGTTACAAAAAAAGCCCCATGACATCATTTGTTGATATTTCCACTTTACATTAAATAAAAAAGGAACCTTGCACTCTTTATTGGCGAATATTTCTACTCCCACTCTTTCTCTGCTTTTGATCTGGTCAGCTTTTTAAATTCTCTGCTATATTTACAAATCCCCTCATCTAGATCCTATTTTAATAGCATGATAAGCTTTCACCTCCTTGTTGCCTCCTAATCTCCTAATTCTAAATTATTGACCTCTTTTGTCACTTCTTTGTTTATTTTTTTTTTCTTGCCCAACAAATAAAAGTAAGCTCTAGTGCCTCTTTTTTCCTACAACAAACCCTACACTGAAAGAAGGTCGTGACTGCAGGTACCTACACAACAGCGACCTCATGCGTGCTCTCAATTAGCGGCAGCAGAGCTCTCGGATTTTGCACGCGCGACTTCCCGTGCCAGGTGGTACCTACAACCTCGAAGGCCGCGTGCTCTGCTATCCCTTGAAGCACGTAATATAGCGTTGCCCCATGCCTATAGTCTTGTCGTAGCAGCAGCATTGCATCAGCAACTTGTATAAGCTCGTGCATGCTTTCGCGCACATACGTATTTACTGTGTTTGATAACATATATTGGTGTGTATAGACAAAAGAGCAGCAGTCGCTGATTACTCTTCGTACCATCGATTGTGTTGAAATAAAATTGATCTTCTTTTCTAGCATTTAACAAGTGTGTACGAGACACATTCTACTTACGTTAAACGCGCCTGACGCGATTTGATTGTTCATAAAACTACTGCAGATATAATTATTTGTAATGTTTTAATGATTTATGTATTTCGTATACCGCATAACGCTTAAAAAACAGTCAGGTTAATGATAATCAATATTCTAAGATGTGCATAGCACGTAATATGTATGATGTTGTTATGATCATAAATTATAAATTATTTCTGATATCAATATAAACTTCGTTAGTTTTCTTTAATTTATTATTCCCCCCCATTATTGCCTTAGGCAGCAAAAACAGAGAAACAAAAAACTTTTATTACAAAAAAAGTATACTTTCATTTTCATAACATATTCAAGTGAGGATGTATATATAGAGCAACTTTGTGGTTTAAAAAAATCATACAGTAAAACAGAAGATTATTCACATGAAATCATAATATTGCAGAGCCTCAAGCAGCAAAGAGTGAATAGGTATACCGGTACCCCTTGACTTGGTTCATCGCGCGTGCTAAAGTCGCGAGCTCTGCTGTCGCTAATCGAGTGCACGCATTAAGCCGCTGGTGTATGGGTATCTCATAACGCGACTTTCTTATCGGCTGTGCGGTAGCTGTTACTATTGAGTGTATAGGCATCGTACGTGCGCCCATCGTACAGCATGGGCTCATAGTCCGCGGTAGCTGCTGCCGCTAGAAACTTGACAAGTGATGCCACAGTATAAGAAACAGACTACGTGCGCTCAGAGACAGCGGAGCTCGCGACCTTCTTTCAGTGTACAATCTACGTTTTGAAATTCTTTGTGGCCCGCCCTACCTACGCTCTAACATCTCAGTCTTGCCCACTTTTCTTAAATTCCTTTCTCTTATTCTCTGTCACTCCAATATTTCTCGACACCTAGGCTCTCTTTTTTATATTTGTAATAGTTAAAATATTTTGACCTGTCAATACTGTTTAAATCTGTTTAAATTTCGTAGTATATTTTAATTTTCATTCCCCCTTTAATTTTTTTCCTGAACCTCCGTGATCCCTGCTCCTTGAACAGTCCAGATATTCCCTCTCCATCCCCAGTTTCTTTGAATGCCTTATCTATAGATTTTCTCCCCTTTGTATCGTTTTTATTCTTGATTGCTTTTATCTCTTCAGACAAATTTTTGGCCACTTATCGTTCTTCATTTTTTCTGTTCCCCTTATGTAATTTTACGCTGTTCTCTTCTTTTCTATTTCTAGGCTGCGTATATTTGTTTCCCTTTTCTAAGTACATGCTGGTGTGTTAGCATTTATCTCCATTGCCATTTGAAAGAATTTTCTTTGCATTTTTTTTATGTGCTCCCATATTTCCCATCCCCATACTTTTACTTCGTATAGGCATCCTGCTTTAACTATTGTGTCTTAGAGGTATAGTCTCCCTTTTAAGTCTCTTAATTTTGCTGCTTTTCATACTCTCCATACGGCATTGATTGTTTTTCTTATCCTATTGGCAGTCCTATTTATATGCGTGCTCAGTTCATTTTTTGTTGAACATTAGAATCCCAAATACTTGTATTCTTCTACTACCTTAATATCCTGATGTTAAAAACTCTTTTTTTTCGCTTCCGCTTCTTGTCCCGCCCCTTTTTTGCAGATCATAATCTTTGTCATCTATTCGTGTAAGGAGGTTTGAGAAAAAAGTTTAAAATAGAGAAACGTGCCAAAAAAATGTATGTTATATTTGAGCATATTCGGAGTGCACATGAATTTTTTCAGATTTTTAACCAGGGGAAATTTTTGAGAAAAAAATAATGAAATATTGACAGTTTCGCACGGTCTCTTATGAGAGAACAAGGTTAGGTTTGCCTTTTAATTGAAATTAAAGTATATTCTAAATGTGTTTAAATACAAAAAAAAACGTTTTCATAGATAACGTGGTATTAAAGGAAGATGTTCGACAAAAAAAATCAAGCCTTGCCAGGCATTTTTCAAAAATATAAGCAGTTACAGTCGTACAGTTTTAAGTTTGTAGAGTGCAAGAGAAGGTGTGTGGTAAAGGAGGCCCAGATGCGTGGGCAGGGGGACTCCTCGTTCCTCGCCTCTCTGAATGATACCCCCAAACCTCCTTAAATTTAACGTATTGTTATCATAGTACTTATCTAACTTGCTCAACATATTCTGCAGACCCTTCTCTAAATTTTTCCCCATTCTATCACTATTCCTCCCACCTTTTTTGTTCTTCAAACTTGCTCCATGTCCTCAATGTATATGTTGAACAGTGTTGGACTGAAAAGACATCTTTGTCTGACTTATTTTTTATTGTAATTCTTCCCGATATCCCTTCGCTTGTAACTATCTCATTTTTAGTTCTTCTGTATATTTCTTTTATCATTTCCAAAAATTTCCTCTTGATTTCTATCTTCTTCATTTTATTCCCCAGTATTTCCCGATTTACTCTATCAAAAGTCGTTTGAAAATCCACAAAACACAGAAAATTCTCCCATTTTTACTTTTTATTTTATTATTTATTATGCTATTTATTACAAAAATATGGTTACTCGTGCTTCTTTTTTCTCTAAATCCTACTTGACTTTAACTAAGCCCTTTCCTTTCTTTAGATTTTTACTCAGTCTGCGAGCCATAATAGTCGGCAGCAGTTTATAGCTTACATCTTACAGATATACCCCCCTATAATTTTCTGCTTTGTTTTTATCACTTGCCTTATATATCGAAAAAATCCTCGCTACCTCTCACCCGTCTTGGTCCCATCTACTAGGTTCTATTTTCTTTAATTTTTTTCTTCTACTAATTTCGCCCTTATTGTTTTTACTCATGCTCTTTCTTTTAATTTTTGTTTATCCTTTCCGTTTTTAGACTTTCTTCATTTTTTAAATGATGCCCACACTTTTCTGTTTTGTTCTGTAACCTTTTTACGCCCTTCCATGCACCCCTCCGCGATCTTGCAGCTACCTTTTTTTTACCATACCTACTTTGCGACCCGCCTCCCAAATTTCCTTAACCAGTGCTTCCCATGTTTTCATGGGCATTTTCCCTACATATCAAATAGGCCCTCTCTACTCTCCATTTCCTCTGAGTACTCCCTCTTTTTTGTTGCGCCCCATCTTAGTATTTCTTTATCCTTGTCCGTCTTCTGATCTTCTAT